AAGCCTGGTTGTGTGAGAATGCTTCAGAACTGAGAGTTGGACATCGTGGACTTGACATTGAAGGAGTTCTATGTGAGTGTCTTAGGTCAGACACAGAACGTTTCAGGTCAGTCAGGTTCCTGGTCCATTTCCCTATGATCCCAGTGTTTGACCCCACTCTGCGTTTGGATCTAGCCTTGGAAAATGCACTTGTCACAAATTAGGATTTCTAAAGAACAGAACAGGGTTTCCTGAGGAAGAAACCTGCCTAGAAATCTTGGGGTGTGCCCCATTAGCTCCCCCAAATGGGATTCTCTTCATTGCTAGGAATATTTTACTAAATAGTTACAGCTGCCAACAGCAGGCAGACGTAAGGGAAGAACGCTTCCTCCGTTTAGCCCCCTTTGTTTCCCGGCCTCCCTTGCTGCACTTACTTGAGTTTTGGCTTTGGGGTGCTCAGAATGCTCTCAGTATCTTCCATCTCGGGGCCACTGTCGCTGGGGTTGTACATCTCCAGGCTGTCATAAAGCTCATCCAGGTCTTCTTCGACCTCCCGGATCTGCTCTCGAGACACGTGTTCCAATCCAAAACCGACCTGGTTGAGAAAAGGCTTCACAGTCAGGAGGATGGCTGGCTGGCCAAGGAAGCCAGCATCTCTGTGCCTTCGTTATTAGCTTGGCCACTGACCAGGGCACCCTCATTTTAAATCAACAAAACGCATTTAAAATCTGAAGGAGAAGACAAAGCAAAAGGCATCTTATTTTCCGGCTGCAGCCACGCTATAGCCAATTTATTTTGCTCCACCGTCACCTTTTTCTAAACCATGACCTCCCCATAACTACCCACCGTAAATGAATTGGAAATAGAGGAACAAGCCGCTTAAGGCAGACAGATACAGGCTGGGTTTATACAGCTGCCGCAAACTGTAGTTTGTAACCAAAGGCTAACACAAAGCCAAAACCAAATAAACCACATTAGGTCTTTCCATGAGGCTCCAGAGCCACTCTCTGGGGTTTTAGACAGAAGTCCTTCCCAACATGATGAGGAGCTATTAAGAAGTAAACTCAGGATATTCCCACCCCTTACAAGTATACATTGCTACTAATAAGTTCCATCCCCTCCCCACAGACCAAATGCCGAGAGCAGGATTTTGTATAGATTCTATAGTCATGAGTTAAATAGAAATCGCACATACAGGAACTTAGATATATAAATATCGCCACACTTACCTCATCCGAGACTTTGAACCTTTTCAATAAAGCCACAAACTTCTGCTTAATATTTGGCTGCTGTGAAAAAGAGGTGATGTTTGTTTGTTAGGAAAAGTGTCAATCCAGTGACTAGGGCCAAAATAAGCAAAACCTTTGTAATGCGCACAGTAACTTCGTATTCTAGTCTAGCCTAAGTTTTGCTAGGATGTCCTATCCAGCAGCACCCAGGAACGTGCATAACAAGCCTGTGAAATGTCTATGGGAGAGATAAACAGTCTTGCAGGGTTCCAGCAGCGATCGTTGTAGAATCTCTGCGTTATTTAATTGCTCCGGAGCAACCCAGTTTAGCTTGCAAACCGTTCAGAAGGATTCCAAGGAAGCTGTTAATGGTTGGACTTCAGACGGTGGGTATTTCAGAAGGGCAGTTCACAAAAGTTTATGCCCAAAGACCCAACTTCAGAAGGAAGCATTTAAGGAGCAAGATATAACGGAAGGAGAAGATTAGCCTTCGTAAGTGCTTCGTTTATCAAAAGGGAAGTTGGTTGGGAAGAAAGCTCCCTAGGCATTTAAATAATTTTGGTAGTTATTTTTGCCCTTGTTTGGGTTCATTTTTTGGGGACTTTGCAGTTGTCTGGTTACTCTGTTGTGGTGAGCCGCCCCATGTCAGCTGAGTCAGGCGGCATCCACGTTGAATGAATAAATAAGTTGGGCTCACACCCCGAGGAGTTGCAACTTAAGGTATGCATCATCTCCAGATATTGTCTCTTGCTGAGTCCTCTCAGCTAAGGGACCCGTCGTTCTACGTCCCAGTTTTGGGGACCGTTCCAAGCTCCAGCCCAAATGAATGTACTCACCCCAATTTAACCCTTGGTCTGACTTTTCTACCCCTCTTAGGCCAGAAAGTAACACTGTCCCAAACCTAGTGGAGGCATGGAGTTATGCTCCACGAGGGAGCCAACCAGCAGGGTAGGTCTTTTCTTCCGTTCGATTCACGATCACTGACTTGTGACACTGAATTTGGCAAAGCCGGTGGACTGCTCTTCTGCCAGAGGCTGTGATCTGTGCGCTTGTAGGCTTTTGAGGTTGAGCCGCAGCTTTGCAGGAAGAATTAGCAACTGGGTGGCCCAGAACAAAACCCCACAAACGGCAGTTTCTGCTTCGACTGCCAGCCAGAGATAAGAACCCTGGCGGGGTAGAGAGGAACCAATGGCGGTGGCAAGATGGGCATTAGCAGGGTTGGCAAGAGGAAGGAGAAGACCAAATGTTGCTTCCGTCCCTTGCTCAGAGAACCCTCCTGTTAAAAGGAAATTACTGGCCAGATGACCCCTCCACCACCAAGAGTTCAGAGGAAAGCTGTGGTCCTGTCAGCCCCATGAGGTAGAACAGACTAGGGAATCAACTACACAGGAAGGCTAAAACTACTTTGATTGTTACTGGCCATAATAACAGAATCTTGCAAGTCTGATTGTGCTAGACCTCCCCCCCCCTTCTACTCCTGTGAATTAGGGAGGGGTCTGCCTGAACCACTTCCAAATGTTATCTCATAGCTCTGGACTTAAAAAATGTTTCAGCCTCCTTTGGCTAGGTCATGGCTCCTGCATGTTTCCATCAAGGTCATCTTCCTAACCCTCTATACAGGTCTACCTCAAGTTCTTCTTGAAAGTAGTTCATGGATTTTGAGCAGAGAGTCCAAAATAAGGGTCAACGGTTAGCTATCATATCTACTTTTTAGGGCTGAAACCACACTGGCAGTAATCAACTAAGCCCAGAGTTGGTTCTGACCACAAGAGCATCACAGGCACATCAACCAGCGGGAGATCCATCCGGGTACATCCAGATGTGTGATAAAGCTGGGAAACCACTTGCATCTTCTCCATCTTCCCAGACGACGGCTGCCTAGCGGGCCTTGCCGTGTTTGGTCTCTGGATTAAGAGGAACCATTGTGATGGAATGGTTTGGTGAAGGCCCCCCTCGGGGAGATAAGCATTTCCTTAGCCCCCAGCAGGGGCGTGGGAAGGTTAAGCGGTTGAGACGGGCACCACCCTAAGGAATTCGTGGTGTTTGCTTGCTGGCTTGAGAAGTTTAGATTCAGTCTGGCAGGAATCTGTCTTGTGGTTGGAAGCTAATAAAAGCTATCAAACTAGACCTGTACTGTCTCATGGAGTTCTTTGGGCTGAACCTGACAACCATGCAGGACAAAAGAAGGATACCACTAGCAACAAGACTCACCCGAGTGATTGCAGAAGTCGACGTCAGTTTCCGCCTCGGCTTTTTCACCTTCCTAAGATCGTCCTCTTCGTAGAACAAATCCTACCGGGAGAAAACAGAGAAGCCATTGCAGAATGCAAGTAACCACCTATCCCAGAGTTCTCTAAAACAGGGCAAACACCATAGGCTTTGGTTTATTAGGAGACCTGACGTCTCATCTGGCTCCAAAGACACAGCAAAGATCGATCTGGAACGGCACCCAGCAGAACCCAACTCAAACAGTTCTGCAACAGACACTGTCCGCAAAAGGGAACCAGCGGGGCAAGGAAGAGCTGGCGAGAGGAATGCCCGACTCACCTGCCCGTGCAGGGGGTCATCGCTGCCTTCCTGTTCGGAAGAGAAACTCTCCTCTTCTTCCTCCGAGTAGTTATCAATGTCAGGGGAGCGATCTAGAAGACAGCCCAGATTATCAACAAACCCCATGGAAGCTTCACTTTAATCCATGTCACATCCAAATGCATGGTCCAGATTGGCCCAGTATGCTAACTCAAAAGGAGAAGGGATGTGCAAATTCAGAGAAACCCAAGTTAGCTTAACTGTGGCACAGCAGCCAAATTTCGTTCCCTGGGAAAAATGCATCTTGTCGCCTATTTTTCATGCTATTCATCATCCTATCCTGTGCTAAAACGGCTTTAGAGCTTCCTGGCAGGAAATTAAGGAATGCTTAGGCTAGGTTTGAAGGAAGAAAGGGAAGAAAGGAAGCACAATCATTAGCAAACTGGACCAAAGTTTCTTCTTGATGTTTCTCGTTTTTCACTTCCAGGGGCAAGATTGTTGTTTTCTCCATGTGGAGGAGCATCATCAATAAAAAGAAAACAAAAACTCCTCTTCTGCTATCTGAAAGTGATGAGAATATACTCTAGCTGTCTTAGGAATCTACCATCTCATCTGCTGTACAACTAACCTAGTTATTCACGGCATAAATAAAAAAGCTCAGGGAGGTCCATAACTCACTCAGGGCTCCGGGATCAAACTCACGGTGAAGCTTCAGGATGATAACAGGTGGCTATGATCTCTCTAGGTCCTGAAGAAAGCCACCCAGTAGAATCCAGTCTGCTTTTCAATCTCTGTCTGAACTGAATCTCCATTCGATTCTAATCGACCAGCTTAAGTAGCTTTGAAAATGTTCACAACCACACAGCCCCGCTGGGGGCATTCAAAGTTTGTTTTTCTCATTCAAAGCAACCGCTAATCATTCATTCAGGAGACAGGCTTGCAAGCAAACCAGCACCTTTTAAGCGTCATAACTGTCATCCCTGATTAGCCAAAAGCTTAATCAAAACCTGTATCTGTTTCCCTAGCAAATTAAGCCCCCAAATATGGAGAGGAAACAATTTTAGACGCATCCACATTTTTGTTTCCCATATTCTAGGATGTAAAGCCTGGGCAATAACATATACTAATGGATACCATTTCAACCCAGGGTTCAAACTAGTTTTCAGATTAATTGCAGACCCTGAAAACTATTAAATACCTGACACTATCCCTTAAGATCAGGACAAGACTTCTAACACAGTGGCCAACAACTCCTAATCAGATCTGATCTTTCACTACTTCTGTTATGATGGCTGGGCCCAAATCAATTTAAAAACAATTAGAGTTTTAAAAAATCACAACTGCAGATTAAAAGAGGGATCAAACTACACCAACACCCGTCCAAAAGCACTGAAACACCAGGGCACATTTCACACGGAAGGGACTGAGGACCGGATTGGGATTAGGGAGGACTGGGTTCAAATCTCCCCTTCTCCTTAACCTCCCTCTAAAGTTGGTTATGGGGTAAAAAGAAAGATTCTGCCAAATAGCAAAAGCCCAGTCCAGCCTGGCCGGGCATGCGCTGTCAGCAGCGGGAGCAAGAAGATGGTGAAGGGCAGCTGGGGTGGCTGCCCAGCGTAGAGCAGCAAGGGGGCAAAAGGGCATAGATGGGGGGAGATGGGCAGGTGGGGGGAGTTGAAGTGCCCCTGTGGTCATAAGTGTGGGCAGACTGCCAAGCATCCGAGTTTTGATCACATGACTGTGGGAACTGGTTGTCACTTTTTTGGCACGTTCATAACTTTGAATGATTGCTAAACGAATGGTTGTAAATCGAGGACTACCTGTACTGCTTCTTTTTCTGAAGTAAAGGGTACAAAATCAGCTTGTTTTAGACTAATACTCTCTAGTTAAATGGACCTATCTGCATTCTGCTCAGATATGTATCAGCTGCCCTGGAGGGCAAAAAGTGATGACTTCATCTCAGTTCCTGGTTCCATCCGATCATTCACCACATTGCTGGTAATAAACCCAAATATCAGAATAAATCCAGCCCTGAGTCTCCATTTGCATCAGTTTCCTTAGCAACCAAAATTATTGCCTAGGTAGCCATCTGGGAGAGAGTACTGAAAAGGAGAAGATTCCAAGAAAGAAGACTAAATATAGCAATGTTTGGCAGAATTAAGCCGAATTGTTTTGACAAGCCACAGCAAACGAGTGGACATCAGGCTCTGCTGGGCTTGCAATCCTGCACACTGTGCGCCTTAAGATGAACGAGCAACTCTACAGGTTGCCAAACAGCACTTGTACAACTGTCTTCAGCAGCTCTCCTCTCCCTCCCTGGAACCCCCTTAGCATTCCTGAGCCCAGTGGTCTTCTACATGTGCTGGATTTCAACTGCAACCATGTGTTGCAGCAGGGCTTCCGGCCAACACATCTCAAGAGTGCCAGATTCACCAAGGGTAATTTCAATGTGCAATTAGGAGAGAGGGCTTCTCCGTCCTACCAGAGATTTGCCCGCACTTTCTACCTGATAATTTTGACTTGAGTCCTTCATGGTCAATGGGTTGGCTGGACAGAGAGTAGATTTTGATTTCAGCCACTGGGACGGAGACGTCTTTCACGTTGCTGTGGAGTCCCAGGACCAGGGCCCCCTCGCTGGGATGCTGCATCACCTGTGAATGAAAAACAGAACGCAGATTTGCAGCAGAGTCAGAAAGCTTAAAAACAAGGAAAACGGCGACAGCTGAATGGTCAGAAAATTTGGATCCTATTTCCTGAAAGCTACCAACTAGGAAAGGAGGAGGAAGCTGAGGCCAGCCTTCTAAGCGACTGATGTTCAAATCCCACGAGAAAAAGATTCATACAGTATGTGATTTGTATTGCTGTTGTCAGTGCAAAGCACACAGGTCGCTCAGCCAGGAAAGCTGGCTCTTTACAGGAGTTTAAACAGGCTGGGGAGGCAAGTTCAATCACCCTCATACCTCTGCTTTGCCAGGCACTGCTGTAAGTTAATAATCTGATTCCCAGATAAGAGAAAGCTACAAAGTGGGTGGCTCCTGCTGGTTTAGCCCCAAGTTTCTTAACTGTGGCCTCTTTAAGACGTGTGGACTTCAATTCCCAGAATTCCCAGAATGCCTGCTGGGGAATTCTGGGAGTTGAAGTCCACACATCTTAAACGTGCTTAAACTGAGAAATAGTGGCTTACCCTGAAGGGTCAATACTCCCCCAAACTGGCTTAGCATTGTGTGAGATCCGGCCCAAGCCATAATGATTTCCACTGCTGAAAAAACGTACTGCAAGGTGTGAAGCCAGCAAACCTTCAACTTCCTTGAAGGCACAGCCATGTTTTTTTCTCTTTCCCAAGAATTATTTCTAATGACATCTCCAGAGAGGTGTTTCTGGAAAGGGACTGCAGCTCAGTAGCCAAGTGCTGAAGGACCCAGGCTAAGGCTGCGGAAATCAGCTATTTTAGAATGGCAAGAATTGGGAAGGAGGTGGCCAGGACAGAAAACAGACCCCACATGGATTGCTGGAACTCTACTCTACTGTCCCCTCTGTTGCACCCCAGAGAATTGAGGAGGAGCACTCTTTCTCACCCCCTCCTCTGTTTCAGAGCGAAGGTGACGTTGATGTAACTGCCCCTGCATTCCTTCTTCAAGGCCATGTTCGTATTCGTCTACACAGGCAGAGTTCTGCTTTGGCATCATCGTCATTATCCACCTCCAGATCAATTCTTATAATTCCCCAGCATAAGCCTACGTGCCTCTGCATTTTCCTTGCTGATTGAGATCCCTTAGAAATATCTCCTAATGGAGCCACATATTTTCCACTTGCTCAAGGCGTGTCGTAACTCTGACGCCCAGAATGCCAGGCCAACTTCCCAGTTGGCTGGGAACTCTGGCTTCTGTAATACAAACATATCTGGAGACCTTCTCTGTGCATCTGAGAGCATATAACCATCGTGGTCAGCTCCTGTCCTATTATTCTTCCTCAAAGATCCAGCTGCCTCTCCCTCTGCCTTACCTCGGCCATGTTGATCAGGCCCACAGCCAACGTTTTGTAGCCTAGAAAGGTCCGGTTTTTGTATCGCTTCCTTCTCTGTAACATGATCTGCAATTTATTGGCGTCTCGTTTCAAGAAGTGAGGATACTGCAAAAGAAATGCAGGGGAAAAAAGTATCAGGACCAGTTTTAACAGGCCAACTTTAGAGTGCGTGTTTCAGGCTGTGGAGCAGGTAAAATGGGCTGGGGATTCACACACTCCTGTTGAAAGAACACTCCCAGGGTTAACAAGAGATCTTCGAGAGATCCCACCAGCCAGCCAGCACACCCTGACCTTTCCCAAAACGCAGCACCCAAACCTGCATGCGCCTGCCTGAATTGCAATCCCCAGCAACAACACAGAAGGATCCCACACCGTTATTTCACGTCTTCCGACTTATTTGGGAGAAAGTCTCAAGAACAGTTGCTTTGTCTGAATAGGAAGCAGATGGATGGGATCTAAAAATGCACCTAAGGTCTGTGCAGTTCCAAAGATTGCTTTCCCACCAAAGACAGATGGTCCAGCAAAGCAGCATCGTGTGGATGATCCTGGGAAAAAAGCTGTCGCTAAAATGAAAAGCCCAACACCCTTCTCCAGAGCACTGGCAATATACCAAATTCTGCAATTAAAATAGAGGTGAATAACAAAAAGACCTGGCATATTCCCTTTGAAGATCAACATTTCAAATGCTTTAAATACCCAAACTGCACACCCACCGCAGAGGAGTTAAACACAGTCCTCCAGAATGTATACAATTTACAGTTTAACAGAGATCCAAAGACTTAACTTCTTGGGTCTCTCCGTTAAGGTGGAAGTGTGGCTTAACAAGATTTCCAATTTCACACCAATCTCCTGTCAATTACCTTCCAGCACGTGACAGTCATTACACACCTTACTGAGAAAACACTAACATGAGGCACACTAGAATAGTTCCCTACAGGTCCTGTTAGCGGGAGAAAAGTGGGCCTTCAGTGTCTCCCCAAGGAGATGTTCTCCTCCTAAGTGATTTTGGAAAAATAACGGCGGAGTCTAATGTTATTTCAAGGATGCTTCTGTATTTGTACTGTTGCGTTTTGAATTTCTTAAGGGTGCTCAACTGGCAATGTGGTTGCTGAAGATAGTAGGAGAACTCTTCCCACAATTATGCCATATTGTGGGGATTAATGAATGACAACTCAAACAAGGCCATGATTACCACTATCGGGAGCTTTTGAGAGTCAAATTATTTGGGCTTCAAACGCAACTGCACACCTGCCATGTTAAGTCCCAATGCTTTGCCAAAAGCTGACATTCTGCTAAAGTGCACTTACCTGCAATGAGAAAGTCAACTGAAGCTCTGTTTCTACGAGTCCGCTCACAGGCAAAACGATCTCGTTGGACCTCAAGATCCGCTTTGAACCCTGCAAGAGGCACAAGTAAGTTCGTATGCTTGAAAAAAGGGGGAGGCAATGCTGGGATCGGAGCCCCAAAGAGCAGACTAACAACCTGCATTCTGGTCAGTTCTCTACTCAGAGAGAGACTGCACCATCTCTCTCACTCATGTGCAATTTATCATTTCAACCAAACAAGGGAAATGGGACTATCCATACATCAAGAGTCCGTTTTACTAGACAAAGCATAGTAAATTTTGGGAAATTCAGTCCCAAACATCTGGAACTAGGTTCAATGAAGGGAAGTCGGGAACAGAAGCACAGGAACAGAGAAAATAGCCTCATACCAAGAAAGAATATTTGGATAGTGAACTAGTGATCCTCCAGCTGTTGTTGAACCACAATGCCCAACAGCCCCAAGGACAACAGCCAAACGTGGAGAATACAGAGAATCATGGAAGAGTAACATCTGGAGAGCTTATATACTGCTTGATGGTGACGCTTTGTGGCTCACTCAGGAGATGCTGGGGCTAAAAGTTCAGATACAACAGTAACTATCTGAATGCTAAGCATGCATTTCACTCCTAAGTTATAGCCCTTTCCTCTCTGGAGCAGATCTGCTACACAGCAGGGGTAACTCTTGTGGCCATTAAGGCCAATAAGCTGCTTGGCACGTCCTCGTTCAGTCAGTATTACATACCTGCAGTTTTACAGCAATCACCACCGAGCTGAGATCCTTGTCCATCTCTTTCAGCATAATGAGCTTCTTCAAGGTCAAACTGAACAGTCTATCCAAAGGGGGGAAAAAAGAGATACATCAAACATCCAGGTAACAATCCCTCGATCCTGAAGTCAGACAGAAACAAAACAGCTCTGTGTGACATTTGCCTACAGCCTGGCTGGAGAGAAACAGGTCTGCCCATCCTAGGAAGTTAGAATCAGTATACCTAGCATGCAAAGTCAACAGGTAGGCAGACAAGCTGAATTCAACGGATTGAGACCTGGTTGAGAAGGACTGTCAGCTTCAGGGATGCTAAGAAACTCCAAAAATGGGCTTCTGTATCTGTATTCCAATCATAAATGCTTTGCAGCTCATTTATTTGATACGGTCCTCAGATAAATACCAATATTTGCCCAAAATAGAGCATTCCGTAACAAACAGAGATTCTAAAAATAATATAAGCCATGCACAAAGGACAATAACTCTGTACAAGATCAGCTCTTGCTATGCGCTGGCATTTAAAGTGTAAGAACCCATTTTTCTACCTAGATCTGTTTAGTGTACCCAAGCGGAGAGTTACCGAACAGGCCTGACTTTGTTTAAAACATCGTACAACATTTATTTTGGATCTGCTGGGCCTAAAGAATTTGTTGAGAGGAAGATGCTATCTATTTTGGCTGCTTCAGGACCCAGATGGAAAACTAGCAAATGGAATTTGGGGCTTTTTTCCTAGCAAGGAATCTAGCAGGCCTAGCAAGGAATTTTTATCTTTTATGTTAAGCCACAAATAACTAGCACTCAGCACGGGTAGGTGGGATACAGATTTCTTCCCCCCCAGACTAGTAATGTGAAGGATCACCTCGAATGAACAGCATTCATGGCTAAGACTCACAAGCGTCAGTTGCCGAGAATCAGGATTCTAAAAGGCAGTCTAGTGGCCATGTAATAGAAGTCAAATTAAAGAATTAATGGGAGTCAAAACGGCCAATTCCCCCACAGTATCGGTGCCAGCAAAGGAAAAGACCTCTGATGCAACAGGAAGACTTGTTTAGCTTCTTCACACGCAAACACACACAAATGCTCAACAACAGCACGAGCTTTGATTTACCACCCCCTAATCTTTCCCTGCAAAATACAAAGCTAGACCCTTGCATCAACTCTCCACAAGTGCCATCTAAAAGAAAGCATCGAGATTTGCTTTAATGCTACACGTGCGCGCACACACAGAGACACATAAAAGACAGACTGGAGAAAGGAAAGGGCTTCTTCACCACATTGCAGCTGAGCTAATAAAGGCTTAAAGAGGCTCTTCCCAGCTTCCAAGTATGCATGAAAACCAAAGTGCAACAATGAGGGGAAATGTTGATTACTAAGACTGGTTTTTTCCCACTTAATTACAGTCCAATTATCTTGTAAACTTCAAAACGCTTTTGCTCTGATGCAGTAGAGAAATCGTGCTTTTGAAAAGGGAGCCATTTTAACAGCGGCATTTTATTTAAGCGGGGTGGCGTGGGGAATCTAAATGCGTAACGTTTAATCAAAAGTTACTTCTTCTGAGCTGCAAAAACGCCACCGTGAAGGGAACAGTGTTCTCTCTTATCCTTTAAATGAAAAGGAGAGGGGGGTGTATTTTGAAAGCACGGTCGGTTCTTCCTCTGGTTATAAAAAAGTGTTTATTTAAGTTACCTCGATTTTTAAAAAATTAATATTTGCACGGTTATGAACCAACTGCGCAACCAGTTGTAACCACTTCCTTCTTCCTTACAGCAACGTTTCCAAGCTACTGCAGGTGATACGGAAAACTGCAGCAACTCGGTACCGAATTGTGAGAAATCTTACTAAGGGTACAGAATTATAAATTTCTACTGTGTCATGAATATAGTACCAACGCAGGCAACAGATAGAAATGCCGGCCCCAACTAGTTTACAAACTTACATTATGATGGGAGAAACCCAAAGAAATGGGGAAAATAGAACGATGTTCATGTTTACAAGAACCTGGGGCACCACATTGCAGACCGAAGAAAGGGGCCTAGGATATGTATGGTTCTGGGAAAATCCTCCTTCAAAACTCAACTGAAGGTTCCCTCCATTGCATTTCTTTAAATCAAGTCCTTGGCTTCGTTACAGCACTTTCTATTGGATTTGCGTTCCCTTCTTGAAAAACAGTCGCTCTGTGATTTTCAACACTTAACCAATTGTGAGAAAGGTACTGGAATATGAAAAAGTCTCAGCTCTTTTTCTCAAGTAAATCTTCCATCCTTACTTCGGGCCCAAGGGGGATGTCAGTTAGCTGGCAGCAAATCGCCTCCTCTTCTCTCGCAATCTAATACATATATCATTATGTCGGCCAGCACTGAGGACACACCAGAGCAGAAAGGTAAGATGCAAATCAAATAATAATAAATAGCAATACTAAAGTCAAACGTCTTCCATATGCCATCAACTTCCAACCAAGGTCATGTCAAGGATCCTTCTTCTCATTGCTCATCGGGGAACGGCGTACCGGCTGAATGACAAATCCAATTAGCTGCATGAAGCCAAGTTGAAACAAGCCTCAAGTTGACAACCAGGAAATTTACTTATTAGGATTTTGAGCAGGAGATTTGTTCAGACTTGAATGGTCTGACATCAGAAGAGGATCCTATGTCTCAATAGCCAGCTGTGATTAAAATAAAGCAGCAAATGGGGTGCATTGAGAATTACAGCTTGTTAAAGGATTAAGGAGCGTTCTCTTCATAAGCAGATGGTGATGTGAACTGCCGAGACTCTTAGTGGATTGTGACGGGTATAAATGGAATGAAGAAATAAATGAATATTAAGAAAGTAAGGGAGACCATCTTGAGAATATGATTTGACGAGATTAATACCTAATCTTGGCTACTTCTGCGGGCTTGGGCACACGCCACTTCATTTCACTTTACTTTCTTCCTAACTTGCCCAGTTCAAAGATCAGACCTAACTGCTTTTATTTTCTTCCACTTCAGTAGTCCTGACGGATTCAGAAGTCAGAATCCCATGCTGTAGACAGAAGACATCATCCCTTTTTGGAGTGGGATTGAAGGACTAGAGGCACAATAGGAAGGAAAATGCTAAAACAGAAACACTCCACACAGGTTTCTGTTCGACCACTGAATGGCATAAGGCCAGTCATACATACTCAGCCTAACTTGGCAAAACATGCATGCGCCCTGAGCTTCTCATAAGGAAGGAATACAAATGGAATAATTCAACAAACATGCTCACAGTAATCTGAATTCAGGAGTGCAGAAGAGTTTAAGAACCATGGATCTTCATCAGCAATCAATCAGTGTTCCCACAAAGACTGACGTACACCAAGTTAGGTTATTTGTTCTTCATAGTTAGAATAATATAGGTTAGCAGGAGGGCATGGAAAACCCCCATGTCTGATCTAGAAATTGACTCAGCCAGCCAACAGCATTGAGTGTAATAAGATATACCTGGCTAATGAGAAGTCAAACACAAACATCTGAGAAGACAATGATGACTATAAATAAAACCTATATCTAAGCTATGAACCCCAGAACTCCTTCATATCAGGCCTCATCATTTGAAATAACTTCATTTCCTGAAGCAGGACCAGGGGAAAACCCAACTTAGCATCACTTTGAGTTATGAGTTACAGTTTAAACAGCCTGGTGAAAGCCGACCACACTTCAACACTTTTGTATCTTGTCTCCCACCAGCTGCAAACACCCAAAAGTCAAGCATGTGGGACCAGTCTGATTCTGTGTTTTGTACTAGATGTGTTAGAATGAAGCACTTGCTCTGTGCAGGTGCTCTGAAGCACCTCACCTGTGCAACTTTGAGATGTGTGGCCTTCAACTCCCAGGATTCTCAACAATGCCCATGCTGGCTAAGAAATTCTGAGAGTTGAAGGCCACACATCTCAAAGTTGCTCAGGATAGAAAATGCTGCTCTACTTTAACTTGCACACAGATTCTCCTACCACCCCTCCTGTCCCTAACGTTTGAACCGGACCCCCCCAAAATCCATTCTAAATTGTGTCAAGCATTATTTATGTCAATATAATAATTTGGAATTCTCTGTGTGGCACAGACAGTTTCTTCCTTACCCAGCCACTGCAAATTACACTCCACTGTATATACAGATGCAGACTTATTTTCCCTCCCCTCTCCCTCCCTGCCCTGAGAGCAAAAAACACCCTTCTCTTTATACCTTGAAGTTTATTCTTCATCTCTGAGTTGAAAGAATGAAGAGGTAAGAGATAGTCTTCAACTTGGGAGGAAGCAAAGACATGCCAGAAAAGGCTCTCTCTTACTTACCAGGCTTAGAAAATGATATCTGAGCAGGTCCCAAAACATACAAATTTACCCACTGTAGAAAGGCAGAGACCATCTGAGACACGGTACCTATTTCCAGCTGCGGTGGCCATAGTCCCAAAGTTCCCATTGCCTTCCTGAAGCGTTTTAGAATATCCAACTATCTGATGGTGCAGAACGCGCATGAAAAACTCTTTCAGAAAGAAAGTCTTCGGAAACAGAAGCCATTTCACACACCGAAGGCCAAGCCTCTTAAAGGTAATTCACATGACTAAGCAAGGCAGATTCTGGATGAAACTATACACCTCACACACTGTTGACTAGCAAGCAACTGAATGACTTAGGACTCCAGGAATCTCCAAACTTACATGTGCTTGCTACACCACACGAAATACAAAACTCTAATTGGAGGCAGTAAATTATCCCATTTGAATGTTCGTAACTCCTCTCGTGGGGAAGGGCAGGGATCTATTGAAACAGCAAATGTTCAGTTTTTTTAAAAATGTCATGCCCAGGAGACTGAAGTATGAATAGCCACAAGGATGCTAAATGAAATTGCCCATACATCAATATGTACCTTCTTTTCCAAACAAAACACAATAAAATCAAGGTAAATGTTTCACAAGTACAGGCAGAATGGAATACAGATTGTTCTCCGATAGACTAATTGTTTCCAAGACCTGCCACAATTATACATTTCTTGTAAAGTGATTAAAGGAAGCCAGATTTCAGTAAGGTAAGTTATTTTGGGAATATATTACGGATATTGTCACACACGCTGCCTTGGCTTTTTGTAGATCTTGCAACATCATCAGTGACGTATAGGGAAATCAGCGCTTCTCTCAGAC